ATAGCATCCATCATATTCAACCACACTGGCATCGACTATCACCAGAGGTTTGTCACGGACATAGAGTAAGTGAAATAGTCTGCATCCAGTCGTCCATAACACTATGGGTACGCGTTCAAATGTGAAAACTTTTGCTTCATCTGAATAGCATGGTGTCACCTTACGCTAGCTTGAAACCGCTTTTTGCCAATTGTTATAAATTTGCATAAATTTATTTACATATTTAAGCAAATAGCAAATATTAGAGGGTATATGATGAGCAAACTAAGAAAAAAAAATGCGTATTGACGCTCTGCCTGGTTCCGTCATAACAGGTTAATTTTCTGAGCGGTTAGAAGACCGCAAAATTACATTCAAGTAGTGACATCATACAATACAACTTCATTTCTGCCATATACCAAACAGCATCAACTACCGAATCCAAAGGAGTTTGTCTTCACAAAATCCTAGATGCACTTTTATACCTCACCTGCATTGTTAGATCGATCCTCGTGCACTACATAGAGCGTTTCCTTCAGCAATCGCCGATTCATACCATTCAACAATGTCTGGAGGCAATAAGTCTTGCCCAGCTGATCCAATAATTCTGGGACCACGATGCTGAAAGGCTGAATGGCAATAGTTGAACGTAGGTCGCCGGGAAAAAGCATTTCTATGACGAGTCTATTCTGGCCAGTTATAATAAACTGTGTGCCTTACAGTTCTAGTGACTACCGATGCCAGAACAAAATTTTCATTCATAAACAGTGTTTTCGCCAGTGTTTCCGGCACACCTCAAAATAGTCGCATTCTAAGCAGCACAAATGCAATTAAATAATGCCATGAATAACGGCATGACGAAATGAAACAGTAGCGGTATAAGTGGCATAAGTACCGGTGGTATAAGTAGCGGTATAAGTACCAAACAAGATTTGTAAACGATATTGTCATAGATCCTTCATGGCCTCTTCCAAAGCCTTAATCTGTTCTGTGTTTGTCGACGCAGTCGAATAGTAATCAGAGAAATCAACATAAGGTTCAAGGTCACCGTTTTCGTTCAACGGTAACTCGTACTCCTCGCTATTTGACGAGTCGAACGATAAATCGGTTGATGGCGTCAGCGTGTTTACGTTCTGCAGGACATCACTGTAAGTCTGGCATCTTCTTGGTAGAAAGCCGCCGCTGTCGCTGCTACTGAACTCCCCATCGAAACGCCGCACCAAAAGAGTCATATCTTCGCGTTTATGGCAAAACGGACTGCGCATCTCCACGTCTGTAAACGACGATATGACTTGCATTTTTCATTAATTTATTTGGTCTACCTAACAGTAAAGCATATGGCGAGCTATGAGATGGATTACGGAGCAGT